GTGCGGTTGGCCTGGGGGCGAGAGCCGCGAGCAGTGGCCGTGAGCTCCGCGTGCCCAGCCCCGGCCCCCCGCGCCGAGCCTCCCGTGATGCAGACACGGCCACGTGCCCTGCCCGGCCTGGGCGCTGCCTGCGGGTCCGGGTCTTTGCTGCCGCCCCGTGCGGAGCTGGGGGAGCTCCCGGGGCGCCCTGCCGCTGGGAGGCGGGCTGCCGAGCACCCCCACACACCCCCTCAGCAGGCTCCGGGCTGCCTCCCCCCTCCCCCCAGGCCGATACCTTTAACCATTTGTCGACACACTTGGCGTGGAACTCATGGTTGCAGGGCAAGACTCGGAGAAGCTGCCGGGCCTCGAAGTCGCTGAAGCACACGACACACCTGCGCAGGGGGCAGGGGACACCATCAGCCAGACACAGGCTCCAGCCTCATCCCACCTCCAGCCTGGGGAGGTCTAGAGCGGCCTAAGCTCCCGGAGATGCTTCCAAACCAGGTGCCCTGCCCGCCCACGGCCCACAAGGGCTCCCAGCCCCAGGGTCACTCACAGAGTCTGCTCCGACTGGTGGCTCTCGGGGTTGAAGCGGTAGGAGGGCAGGTGCTCGATGTCGGCTTTGGTGAGTCCCCGCGGCTTGGCCTCCCCCAGCCGCTCGGCCAGGGTCAGCAGCGCCTGAGGGCAGGGGCAGGGAGCTCAGCCCCTGCAGCAAACCCCAGCTCCATGCACGGCTCCCTGAGTCCCAGGCTGGAAGCCAGACCCCGGTGCCCAGAATCCCACCCCCAGGCCCCGCTCCTTGCTCCCAGAACTGGAGAGCTGGGCCTTGAGCCAGCCCAAGGGGGGTGGGTCTGAGGGCTGGGCCCAGGGAGCTGGAAGCCCCATCCCCTGCCCCCCAACAGCAGCAGGGCGCAGCCCCCCACCTCGTAGTTCTCCATCTCCACATCGTCCACGTCCAGGTCCAGGCTGATCGTGGGCCCGACAGCCGTCGGCGACACGGGAAGCATCGAGCTGCGGGGGGAGGGGAGGGGGCACAGGGCACTTACAGACGGGCTGCTGCTAG